CCTGCCCTGTCTCGTGCAAATATGTGAGTCCAGCTCCCAAATGAAACGCTTTATGAAGACGTGATTCCACCTAACATTGCTTCCACTGGTCAGCAACAAGGAGTGCATTGTGTTACCTTCACCCCTTGGGGCACCCTTTCTTCAGCGCACTGGTGTGTGTATCTGTCATCTGTCTGTCTGTGGTCAACACTGTGTGAAAGTTCACCAGGAAAACCAGTGAACCATGCCCTTGTGTAGTGTGCACTGTTGATGCTTGTAGAATACTCCACGCACTGCTAAAGCATGAGTGAAAACTTCCCGTGAAGATCAGGGTGTACAAATGGGGTTTTTCTTGATTGTCCTCCTTTGGGAATAGACAGTTTGCTTTTTTATTTAAGGTTAGGGTTAGGCTTTATTTCATTTTTTCCCTAAAGTTTTTATTAGCAGCCGTATTTGGTACATTAGAGGACTCATTTCCCAGCAGATTACTATATTTGAAGCAAAACAATAGTGAGAGCAAATTGCTCATTCATCTCAGAGCAGCATAATCAAGAAGGGACTCTGGAGCACTGAGTCACAGCATGGACTTCTCTGTCCGGGAGCAGGGTCTGCAGAGCAGCTGCAGGCAGACGGTGTGCTCCTAGGACGCTTCTGCTGGCTCCTGTGGCCCCGGCTCTGTGTTCTGTGCCATTGGCTCAGGGGACAGTGCGGCAGGGGAACGGCAATGGAGGCACGCCTGCGTTCCCACGTGCGCACGCAGGTGTGCACAGGTGTGCGGTGTGCAGAGAGGAGAGGGAGGCAGTGATGAGACGTGGGATGTCCACCCCTGCACGGATTAGTGTAGGTCTCTGAGCATCTAGTTTTCCAGGCGTGATGTGGCACTGCCGACCTAAAGCCGCCAGCCCTGAGGGACCGCAGCCCAGGTCAGCAGCCTTCCTTGTTTCCTGGGGGTTTGAATTCCCTTCTGTGTCAGACACGTGTAAAACTTTTGCCTTGAAGTACAGGATGCAGATTTTTGGTACGCCAAATATTTTATAGGATTCACAGACACCTGGAAAACATTTGTATATCTGAAATCTATCATTTCTGCCAGACTGCAAATTCCATTTTCAAGAAATTGTGGGTTAGAGAGACATTTCCTTTTGCAAATGATCCTTCATACTCTGAATCCCATTAGTCACAATCATGCTTGGAAGGCTTATTGATCTGGGATAAACTCTTCACAGAGTCTCTTTCTAATTATCTCAGTAATGCCCTGCTATAATCTAGCTTTACCAAAAAGCAGCACTAGAACACTCTTGGTGTATAATTAAATATTTTTATTACTAATGTTTTTGTTCTACTGAGGCTTTAACACAGGACTGTTACACTGAGTCACCTCAATAGCCCTTTTAAAATATTTTTGAGAGAAAGTCTCTCTAAGTTGCTTAAGTTGGGCTCCAATGTGAGTTCTTCCTGCATCAGCCTCCCAGATTGCTGGGGTTACAGGCACGTGCCAGCATACTTGACGATTATTAATACTATTTTAAGATCACATGTCATCATTATATACATTTGTAGGGTAAGAACACTCACTCTTTAATTGGCAAAACATTTTTGATTATCCATAAATAGAGCTTGGATCACTGCGCTGGGCTCTAAAGGCTACAGGTTAGAAGAGCGTGCAGTTTACGAAGACACACACCTGAGCAGCCTCCCTTGCTTTGTGTATTCGGCGAATCATGTGTGGAGCACCTGACCCACTTCAGGGCAGTCCCTGCCCTTGGAGCCCAGTAACCCTTGGATCTGGCCTGGTCTTGTTGAGGCAGCACCCTCGGTGTTCGGGGAGCGGTACGGAGGGGACTGCGGCACTGCAGGGAGGCTCTCCCGAGGCTGGGATGCAGTCCTGGCCTCTGCACTCTGGGAGCTGCACTTTTCACACCTCTCTGGTGATGCTGTCTGAAGCCAGCGTCCTTCTGCTGTGGCCCTGGGTAGCCGGTGGGTGTATTGTGTGTCACCAGTTACCTCTCCTCTTGCCCCTCTCCGGAGCTCTCCAGTGTCCTGTGATGCGCTCCAAGATGCAGAGTGATGGCATGAGCAAAAATGGTGAGTACCCATGGCGACAGATGGCGAGCCTCAGGACTGTGACGTGCCAGCAAAGTCGGGGTTTGAGCAGTGTGTCCTGTTGTCAGCTGCACGGTGCCGCGCGAGGTTGAAAATGTAAATGCACAAATGTCCTAGATATGTGCATGTGCAGTGCTGCCTCGAACGCACTTTTCTCCCCGATTCTGGTTGCAAACCAAGCTGGACGAGAACTGGATCACATTTCCCCACAGGGTCAGCACTGAACCTAACCATTGCGTGGTGCTCCTCCAACTCGGTTTGCCCCCAAAATTGTGGAGAGAATCGAATTTACGAGTCAAGGCACCACCATCTGAGAAGTGCGTGTGTGTGTGTGTGTGTGTGTGCGTGTTTGGTCTGTGGCTACCGCAGGATGTGACACCTTAGCTCTTCTGAGTTTCTGAGCTGAGAGATCCTGTGCCTTTGTTTGGATTACTGTAGCATAAATACCGCTATAAGACACCTAGAAGGGGAAAGCTAGGTCGAATGGAATCTCTAGCTTTCGCTTGTGAGGAATCTCCGTGCTGATCTCCAGAGTGGTTGTACACATTAGCGTAGAAAGTTCCTTTTCCTGTAGCCACACCAGCATTTGTTATTATTTGGTTTCTTGATGACGGCCATTCTTTCTTCAGTGAGGTGGAATCTCGGTGATGTTTTCATTTTCATTTCTCTATTGGCCAGTGATGTTGAGCATTCTTCATGTGTTTATTGACCGTTTGTACTTCTGAGAAGTGTCTATTCATTTCAAAATTAAAAGAACATAAATAATATAGTGAACACATTTAAACATTTAGCTTTCCTCTTCCCTGGAAATACTCTCATGGTAGAGATTTCTGCAGACGGCTCTGCTCCCTAAGTGCTGAGCTGACCCCGCGGCACTACCCCACTGCTTTCCTGAAGGGTTTTGGCCAATTCTGTGGCTGTAACTGAGCCCTCCGTGTGACTGCTGTCCCACACAGTGGCATTTTACTGAGAAAGTGTGCCATTTTCTACGAATAACAAGGAAGCTTCATCCCTCTAGGCTGTTTAGTGTTCAGCCCATGTTAGGGAGACAAACTCCAACTCTACAGAAAGTGTATGGGTCCTGCAAAAGGTACCCTGACTCACCTCTTTCCAAGGGGTCCCCTCACATCTTCTGGGGGTCTCATTCCACAGCACAGGGGCTGACCACTCCCTAGCTCTCTTCCACCTCATCGCAGGGCCAACCTCTGTGCACCACACAAGCTTGTGCCACCCTCCCGCCTTTCCTGTCCTCTTTGTCTCCGGTACAGAGAGAGAAAGTCTAAAGTTTGGGTCAAGTGCTAAGGGTTCACATGCTTCCCTGAAATCCCACCTCCTGCTGCTGTGAAGCACTTCTTCCTGCAGGAGTGGCCTCCCCGGAAGGCTTTTCATCGGCTTCTCCACCTTTTCCAGGACCATTTCTTTCTCAGCGGATCACTGAGGGCCCTCATGGGTCCTGAGTAGCACTGGGACAGGGATGCACACAGGGACACTCTTCCTGTGTGTGGAGGGCTCCTGTCAGCCTGTACAGGTGACGGGGTGACACCCGGGCCATTTAGCTTTGGGAAGGCCACACCACCAGGGCCCTCGCAGACAGGTTAGCTAACTCTGCAACTGACAGACAAGATTTATAACCCCACAAACTACAAGCCCCATGTGTTACCTGTCATCCTCCCTGGAGTTCATGCAAAAAACAAACATTTTCATGAAAAGCATTGCAAACTATGTATAAGATATGACACGGGCCAAGAGTAATTGGTAGCTTCCTGATTCCACAGTTCTATTTTTATTTTCAGAAATACTAAATTTGAATGCATTTTCCTATTTCCTTTTACTGAATTAATAACTTAAACAAAGCAGCACAACTATGGCACTTGTTTTCCAGTTAGACGCACTGGGTCACGGTGGTAGGATGTTTCCTGTTTTCCTCTTGCAGTTGAACGGTGGGCACAGTCCATTCGCACTTGGCATTCCTTCTGGGCCCTTCTAGTATTCATTGTCTTATTTTCATGTATGTGTGTGTGTGTGTGTGTGTGTGTGCACATGCGTGTGTGTCTTAATTACTTTTCTTGTTGCTGAGACAAAATACCCAACACCCGAAGTTAAAGGGGGAAAGGTTTATCTGGCTCAGTGTGTAGAGGTCTTAGTTCATAGTCTGCTGGCTCCAAGGCAGAAGGGCATGGCAGGGGAGAAATGATCCATAGCAAAGCAAAGCAGATAGAAGACAGCACGCAGTAAGCAATTAGAGGCAAGTCTTGACTCTCTGTCCCTTATGTCTGATCCAGGCTACCCACCCTTCCAGCTGGTACTGCTCGCACCCTTAATCCTAGCATCACATGCTTGATCTCAGACTACACACCCAGGTCCAGCCACCTCTGAGAAGCCCCACCTAAGACTGCGTGAGGCTTTGGAGGGACATCTGGATACAAACTTTACCAGTGTGTTACTGAGGTTGGACCTAGCACCTTCGAACTGACCCACATCTCCAGCCCTCTGTACTTTCTAATCCATGACAGGGTCTTTCTAAGTCATGAAATTGACCAGACCAGGCTTGAATTCTTAATCCTCCTGCCTTTGCCTGCCAGAGTGTTGGGATTACAAGCAGGCACTGCCACACCCTGCTTTGCTTATATTTCTCATTCAATTCTGTCATATACTTTCTTTCAAAGACAAATATTGTCATATTTTTGTTATATGCAGTATTTTTTCTAAAGTACACGGTAAGTACTCACAAAATGCATGTAGTTATAATTCTAATAATTATTGCTTTCCCTTTTCAGAATGGCACCTGACCACTCAGATAAGACATATTTTACTGTTATATGTAAAAAGTCAGTTTTCAGAAGCTGCATGTACTCATGTTCCTCCTCTGAACTCCAGACTCTGGTTGATGACCTCGAAGCTGTCCTCTGTCATTTCAGCCTATGAGTTACAGAACTGCCCGGAGCCGCCCCCCTTCCAGAACGGGTATATGATCAACTCCGACTACAGCGTGGGCCAGTCCATCTCATTTGAGTGCTACCCGGGGTACATCCTGATAGGCCACCCTGTCCTCACCTGTCAGCATGGGACCAACAGAAACTGGAACTACCCCTTCCCACGGTGCGACGGTGCGTTCCCCACTCCCCCTGGGGCAGTGAATCCCTGGAGAATGATAGTACATTAAATGGGAAATGATCATCTCCAATAAATCTTCAGTTTAATCCACAAATATTTATAAACCATCTCTGTTGTTATCCTCACTCCACTTGGTGTTTCAGGAGTATGTCAAATGCCAAAATGTTAAGAAATTAGGCAGCTCTTGCTCTCAAGGAAATTCAAAGAATAGCAAAATAATAAGCACGCATAATTACCGTGCAGCCCAGCACCAGGAGTGTGTTGACCAGTGGGAGAGGGGAAGGATTGCAGCAGTGAGTGCTATGGTGGGGTTGGATCAGGGTGGGAGATCTGAGGAGAAAATGGTGCTTACTGATTGTTTTTCTAGTAATTTGATCTTTTTAACTTTTCTAATAATCAGATCTGGAGTTTGTTTCAGAAATGGACTTTATCTGGTTGTGCTCTGAAAGGACACATAGTATTTTGCTGCTTTAAGACAGTGGGCCCTGCAGGGCAGGAGGAAGAATGGGCAGAGGGGCAGGGCCGAGCAGTCCTAGGGAGTGCGGAAGCCCTGGGCTCAGCCTTGCATGCACTGGGGACCTGGGTGGGGAGGGCAGTGTGGCCACAGGAGCCAGGGTGGACTCCAGGGTGGACTCCGGGTGGTGGGAAGGGGTGTCCTCTGAGCTGAAGTCAGTTTTAAGCCCTTGTCTGGCCTCCTGATTTTTATGATGACTTGGGAGCCTTCATAGTACCCAGTTGGACAAATTGACGAGGAACTTCGTCCATGACGAGTGTGTATGTGATAGAAAACCCACAGTGAATCCAGTAGCCTCCTGTTATAAATACCGCGCCTTTGAATACAGAAATAATGAAATTAACCACTCCATGGACCTTTGAAATGCTAAACACTTGTATCCCATGGGGAGAGGGAAAGACAGAGTGTGTCTGAATTTCTCCTGAAGATGCACACAAAGCACGTCAGGGACTTTTAAAAATCACATTCTCACTCCATTGCGGATCATTATAAGAACAACATTGAGGAGAAAAGGTTAGCTGTATTTTTTAAATTCCTTAACTAGGTCTAATACTCATTTAACTACATAATAAACTGCATTAAAATAATTTTATACAACTAACTAGTACAGTATATGTATGTATATATATATATATATATATATATATATATATATTTTATATTTTCCCATTAAAACCTTAGAGATTGTCTCTCATACCCCTCTCCACTTGAAAACTTATATTTAAGATCCAGGCCTCAGTGGTATAGCACATACTTAGCATATTTGAGGCTGTGGGTTCAACCCCTAAAGCCACCAAAAAGTAAAAATAAAACTTCATATTTGTGTGTAAATTACTTCGGAAATTACAAGCACTGAATCCTTTTCTTGATTACAACTTTAGCCTGAATCCCTTGACTTCACATGTAAATGGTAGATTCCTTGGCTTGATATTAAAGAGAGATGATTAAATGTTTCATTTGATTTTATTAATTTTCTGATAACCATTAGAGCTCAGAATCATTTGTTAGCGTGAAAATGATGGAACACATGGAGCAGACAGACGTGAGCGAGAGGCCGTGATTCCCACGCCCACTGTGGTGGGGAACCCCAGAGTCAGCCTCACTGTGAGATGCAGCCCACGCCCCAAGGCCAACCTGCAGTCAGCCCCTCCCAGAGGAGCTCACCCGCTCCCCGCTGGGTGTGCAGTAGGTGGTTAAGTGGCAGCTTGCAGTGGAGAGCATCTGTGGGAAAGGTGCTCAGGCAGAGAGTGGGGGCGCCCAGACCTGCCCACGCCTCCTAGACCAAAGCCCTTGGAGCACTGCCCACCTGGACCCCCACCTGGTCCACGGTGCTGGGATTTCTGTCGGGCTCCATAACACAGCCTGACTGTCCACCTGGGCTGCTGTCCCTGATGACCCAGAGCCCCACCCCAGCCCAAGGTGGTTCTTTCTGGCACCACCAGAACCCTGCTGGTGTCAGGGCAGCCCCAGCCCCATGACACCCAAGGGTGCTGAGCACCAAGGCAGGCCCAGGCATCTCTGACCAAATCCTTCACAGACAGCAATATTTAGCTTTGTGTCTTTTCCTTCTATCCAGTGTCATAAACAGAATTTTAAAAATACTAAAACAAATTTCCTGTAAAATTATATCATGATATAAATATTGAAAGAAATTAGAAGGAATACATACAGAATATCCTCAGAAGCAATGTGTGTTTAAAATCCTCTCCATAATAGATTGATTTAAAAATTTAAAAAATAAACAGTAAAAAAACTAAGAATGAAAAGTGCCTTTGTCACCCAACAGTGATGTGCACGGCACATAGGTCACATGTCTGGGCAGCCTGGGCAGACTGCCCTGCACCTGGCCGCGTATCCTCGTTGACCCTTGGTGTCGGGCACCACAGCCATTGCAGCTGCTGCCTGGGGTGAACCACGGAGAGGCATCTCCAGGCGGCCAGCCCTGTGTACCCCAAAAGTCTAGCTAAAGAGAAAAGCATAAGAAATTGCTATTTAAAACTGGCAAATTCACACAATTAATATTACCCTAAATTGTAAGCCACCCATCTTTATAAAGCTATATTAAATCAGTTTGTATGAATATGCTAAAATATTTATATGTTAAGTTGAATAACTCTACTATGTAAGGTTAGTATATCGTAAATTTGCCTAAATAAAACTGATCTAAAGATATCATATTATTAAGATAAGTACATGGAAATGAAAAAAAAATAGATCTTAAAGTAGTGAGAAATTCACCACATTTTTTCCTCCTCTTACCATAATTATAGAGAAAACTTAATTCAGAAAAATGTCTCATCATCAAAATATACTTTGAAAGGCTATGGCTTATAAGTTTATCATATAACTTGATCATTAAGTTTGCCTCTATATTTACAAATATATTTTAAAATTTTAAAGTGTGCTGACAAAATTCTTTTACACTGAGCTGTTCGTGTCATTACCACTGTTACGATAGACTTCTCTTCAGAATGCGCTGTTCTGCAGGCAGAAAGGTGACTGAGGTGATGAGGGTGCTGCAGTGTGCTGTTCTGCCCGCTCCACGGACGCTGGGCACTGGGCGCCTGGAGTGTGACCGGCCAAGCATTTAACCTGCGTGTGTGTCCAGGCCAAATGGTTCTCTTGGTTTTCCAAACCATTTGTTTTTCTCTTCCTCATACTTTTAAAGTTTAGATGGAAACCTTCATGAGATCCTAGAGAAAACCACCTTTGAGTTATCTGTAACTCTCTTAGTGGTTATTTGGGGTTTTAAATTTTAATTGTTCTGATTTAGATTGCTGGTGCAGTTTTGCACTGCGTGTGCTTATGGAGAAAAAAGCAGCACCATGTGGAGATGGCCAGGGCCCGTGGCCTGTCCACCTCCAGCTTCTGGGTGAAAGGAGTGAGGGCTCAGGTCCCTGCATCCCTGAGCAGAGGACCACCAGGCTCACCAGCTGGTCTTCTGGAACCTTCCAGCTCTGTCCAACTTGACCAAGACACAGTAAGAAAGTCGCCTCCACAGTGATGAGAAGTCACAGCTCAGCCACGGTGCCACCCAGGCACCCAGAACTTTCCACCGTGGGTGTGAACTTTCCACCCCTTCTGACACAGCCAGCACTGGCTGTGGGATCTAGTCAAAACAGGTGGCTTCAGCATTTCCTTCTGCTTGTTTTTCTATGGAAAAATGCAAGCCGAAGTCATTAGAAGATGTGTCCCAGTGTCTGTGCTCTGCACAGTCCTCCCTTGCCACCCCACTGTGCATGCTGAACACACCTGTGCATGCATACATGAAGGAGCATGCGTGGGTTCCCACCGTGGCCACCCTGTCACTTCCAGTGTGATGCTGGCACTCAGATGCTCTCTGGCACCTGCCTGGCTTCCCTCACCCAGGCTGACAGGTGGGATGCTAGGAGGCTCCTGTCCTGGTCCTGGGGGCTGCTGTGATCTCACTGCAGGCTTCACATCACTACAGGTGAAGGCAGAGACCTCCGTAAGAGACAGGGAAGCTAAACATGCCAGCCGGGGAGGGCTGGGGAAAAGGAGAGGGAGTTTAGATCATTCTTTTAAAACTCTCTTCTCTTCACCTCAAGATTGGTTGGCATTCAGAGAATAATAGAATCTTTGCCTTGAGAAAGCTCAGTAAGTGCACTGCACAGTATTACTGTCCTGTGAGAGTACAGGGACTGGGAGCATCTGCTCCACCTTCACAGCACATCCATCAATTTGACTTCACGGTGAGTCAGTATTTGACGAGTTCCTCTCTCTATCACCATTGAGGAAGCCCCACTCTGGCAGTCATGGGGCTCCAGGTTCATAGCTGCAATCTACCCCAAGCACATTTCTCGTTAAGTACATGTTGAATAAGAGAATGAAGGATTTGCTAATTAAACATTTAGGGATCACTGCCTAGGTCAATATCACAGTTATCAAATGGCATCTGCAGTGTTAGAAGCTGAGGATGTGTCCCACCAAGAAAACTGCCATGTCAGTCCCTTTGACTTTTAAGATAAAGGAATCCATGGTGTTTGTTTGCGTGCTTGTTTTTGCTTAGGCTTATTGTCCAAGTGGGAAGGGACCAGAAAGGACCTCCATCTAATGTGATCGTGCAATTACAAGAGGCAACTTGTAAAGCACAACTGTGCAGAGAATTCTTAGCTTTGCACATCCGCACTGAGTAGCACCAAGTTGCTGGGAATTGGGGCGTCTCCATGCTGGGTTGTGTTCAGCACCCAAGAGTTTCCTGCTCTTCTTTCACGGGTCCATCAGTCTGTGGTCTCCTGAGCAGACCTGGGTCCATGAAGAGGGTTGTGGGGAGCCCTGAAAGGGCCCTGTCCCTGTCTCCCAAGAGCCTTGGAACAGATGTGGAAGAGCAGCTGGGGGGCTGAGTGGAGCCAGGCCATCAGAGAGCAGATGGGGACCCCTGGAGTGTGGGAGGGCTCCAAGCCCCTGGTGGCTTCAGAGCTGAGTTTGGAGGGGAGAGACAAGTCCACCGAATCCCAGGGATCCCTGCACACCCATGTTGCAGCAGCACAGCTCAGCATAGCTGAGTCTTGGAAACAGCTGTGTGTCCACCACAGTGGAGAGGTATCTACACGCGAGTCATTTCCAGCTGTGCAGAATGATAAACTTGAGCCACCTCAGGACTATCATGTTAAGTGAAATAAATCAGACTCAAAAGCTTAAATATCACCTGGATGCTTTTATATGAGAAACTCGTCATAAATAAAGAACAACAAAAAGAGATAGCTGAGAGGAATAGATAGATGATTTGTAGTAAGGAAAGGACCGAGGGATGGAGGGAGAGGAAAGGAAGTGGGGAGCCGGGCTGAAGATGCAGATGTGTGGTGAGGATGCCTCAGCTCACCGTGAGGACTGCAGTCAAACGCACACCAAGAAAAGAAAAATCGCAGCCAAAGACAAGTCCGCCGCAGCCGGGTGGAGAAAGGCTCAGGGTTTTCCATGAGAGCAGGAGGAGCCCCCGGGTGCAGGAGTTCTGTGGGGAGGACTCACCTCATGAGGTGCGCCTGGCCTGAACCCTTTATAGATCGCAGGTAGACCTCAGGGTGCTCCAGGCCTGTCCTCACTGGATTTGCACAGGTGAGGATCCGAGCAATTGCTGGTTTCCCAGGGGACAAATCCAGGTCTGTGTGGCTGCAAACCCCCCTTTTGATTCCACTGTGAAACTCCAAGATGTCCAGCACGGCCCTTCCTCTCACGGATGGACCCAGAGCATGGCCAGACTCATTGTGCTCCACACCTGTGGGATCCACATGGGCCCAGTCACCCTCTGCATCCTGGCATCATCAGCCATTGTTCAGCTTCAATATTAAACCCTTTTGTTCTCTGGCCTTTGATAGTCCTGGAAGATTCATGCTAGTGTCGACACCCACACCGCCCAAGCTTTCGGTTGATCTTCCGGGAGTATTGTCTAGTAACTCCGGGTTCTTTCCTCTGTTGAAACACAGACCACATTTCAGATTGTTCTAGCAATCTAGTCACATCGCTTTTCTGTAAATAGCATAGTTCTTGGAAACTATATACATCAATTTATTAGGTAAAATAAGAATAGGCTGGGTACTGTGATTCTTCATATAACGAACACTAGTAAATATGCAAATACTTCAATACAATACTGGAGACATAATTTTATCTGCGACTTCAGGGTAGATTTGCAGATGTCTTTGTGTGAAGTCAAATAGGCTCAGATGCCACTCTTCTGGCCAAGCTTGAACAGGCTTAGAAATGTGAGTCAGGACGAAAATGTTCAGCTATGTGTTTATGCATACTTTCCACATAAGCCCCTGCGCGAGACCACGCATCCAATGGATCATCAGCTCAGGCTCAGGGGATGGCCGAGGGAGGGTCTCTCATCGCATAGGGACAACTGTTCTGAGGGGACTTTGAAGACTTGGAGAATATATTAGGTGGGGCTGCAGTGACTTAGGCGTGTCTTCCCCAGTGTCCAGATTTTAGGGAATAACTTTGACAAAGTAGTCACTGAGAACTACTTTGTAATCAGGTCTTATCATGGACAGTTTTAACTAAGAGAATCCGGAGACTTTGAAACAGTTACCTGCTTGCCAGAAGCGTTGGTATGGGGCTTATATTTCCTTTCTTCCTCCACAGCTCCTTGTGGGTATAACGTGACATCCCAGAATGGCACCATTTATTCCCCGGGCTTCCCCGATGAGTACCCCATCCTGAAGGACTGCGTCTGGCTCATCACCGCTCCCCCAGGGCACGGGGTGTACATCAACTTCACCTTGCTGCAGACCGAGGCTGTGAACGACTACATCGCCGTCTGGTAGGTGACCTCCCAGGATGAATGCGCCCACAGAGCTGCCCTGAGCCAGTGCACAGTGGCCCCTGTGTCGGGCAGTGCATTTACAGGCACATCACGAGGTGCTGACAAAGCAACACCTGCCAAGGCCGGGCAGGCAGAGGGAGGCTGATCAGGGCGCATCTGGGTTTTGCTTCCTGGTGCAGATAGCCAGGAGCACCTCTAGTAGATGAGGACATTCCACGATTGCTTTAGTTTACATTGTAAGTGGGATTTTTAAAAAGTGGTGGGATCCTTTGCCATGATTGAATATTTCGAGAACTATTGCAGAAGTGGTTAAGCAGGGCCTACCATATGCCCATTGTTTCTGAGAAAGTGGCTGTCCATGGGCTGTCCGGGGGAAACTGAGATGGCCCAGCGCCAACATCAAGGTCAGAGTTGGGGCCAGGGTGCTGCTCTGGCCCTCAGGTTGTGAACTGGACCTGGGGAGTGACCACCTAGCCTTTGGGTCTGATGTGAGGGTTTATAGTGGAGATGGCAAGAAAGGGTGCAGGTCCCATGACACTTCCACAGGAAGGCTGGCACACACTAGGGCGCCAGGCAGGGTGCACCATCAGAATAACTGTCACAGAGCTGAGGAAGAAGCTGCAGGAGTGTGTGTGTGTGTGTGTGTGTGTGTGTGGTGAAGGTCTGTGTGCATATTTGTCTGTGTCTGGATGAGGTACGTTAGAATTTGGTTGTGCATGAGTGTTTACTTGTGTGTCTGTGTATATATATTTGTGTGTGTCCATATGAGAGTGTGTGTCTGTGCATGTGTGGGACTGCTGTGTCTGTGCACGGTGTGTGATATGTGGAGCATATGTGTGTGTCTGTGTGTGTAAGCATGGGTATGAGAGTGCTTTTGCGAATGTGTGCTGCATGTCTGTGTGTCTCTCCGGGGTGTGTGTTTTTGTAGATCTCTCTGCACAGCTCTCCGAGGCAGCAGGAGTGTCCATCCCAGCAGGCACAGACAGCTCAGGGCCACACCCATTGGGAGCACAGTGGAGCAAGGATGTGGGGAGGCTGTGAGAGGCTGTGTCCCAGGCAGGAGGAGGCTGAGGGCAGCAGACAGGAGAGAGGGCCTGGCAGGCGGGAGGTTGGCACTCAGAACTGCAGGAATGCATCTCAGGAGGCGCCGGGCCTGAGTATGAAGGGGCTCAGGACCATCCCAAAGCAGAACTGAGCACGGCAGCGCAAGGCACCATCACTGTTTCTCTCGACGGCGCTGTGGGGTGAGGTAAAGCAGGCACTGGCAGGAGGCTTGGGAAAGACAAAGACCGCCCGCTCCTTCAGCTGTGTGGCTACAGAACAGAACATCCTGTTTCTAAGCACAGGATAGAGCATGGTGATTGTGTTGTTTTGCTTTAACTGCTGTCAATTACCTGCAGAAGTCGGTTAAGTAGACCTCACTGCATCTAGACTTTAAACCATGGGGCTGTAGGGGAAGCAGCTGCCCAGCACCTGTAGCACCAGAATGAGGGAACGAGCGTGAGCCGGGGCCACCGGCCACCTTCTGAGCTGGGGCTGGAGCCTGCGTCCGGTGCATCCCCTCCAGTGCTCTGTGTCTCCCAGGGATGGTCCGGACCAGAGTGCGCCCCAACTGGGTGTGTTCAGTGGGAACACAGCGCTGGAGACAGCCTACAGCTCCACCAACCAGGTCCTGCTCAAGTTCCACAGTGACTTCTCCAATGGAGGCTTCTTTGTGCTCAATTTTCACGGTCAGTTTATTCTCACCCCATTAAGACCCAGAACCCCGTGAGAAGTTGCCCCGAGTCCAGCCCAGGTCGCTCAACTGCCCTAAAAGCCTGGAGTGTTGTCCTGCAGGGAGTTCAGAGCTGCCCAGGACCCTTCGTTGCTTACTGAGGTCTTGGTTAGCTTCGCACGTGTTACCAGGCTGCATTCTGTAGCCAGCTTGAGCTCATTCCAGCATTTACTTTCCTGTGAGCCTGTGAGATCCCAGGACGGAGCAGAGGGCATCTTTGCAGAGTGGGCTGGAGCCGTCCGTGGTGGAATCTGCTCTTTTGATTTCCAAACACATGCACAGCCAGTGAATTCCAATGTTACATTTTTGGAATCACACACTTTCTTTCCTTGCACTTTAAATGTTGCTCGGCATTTAATCATTATATGAGATTATAAAACAGTGAGAGCAAGGAAAGTTTATGAATCAATGATTTGTCCATGGAGACATTTCAGTGTACAAAAGAAACGAAACTTTTAGAGAAATGCGTGTGTGTTGTTTTGCTCATTCGGCAAGAGTAACTGCCATGATGCTCATGCTTTACATGAAACCTTAGCGTTTCAGCTGAAGAAGTGCCCGCCGCCCCCCACGGTGCCCCACGCAGACATGCTGACGGAGGATGAGGACTTCGAAATAGGTAAAGCACCCTCCACCACAGCGCCGGGACCCTATGTCCATCCCCACCCGTCCTGCACTCATGACACACGGCTGCTGACGGAGTCATTTACCAGTGGGCCGGGAAAAAACTTCCCTGCAGCACTGCTTTGCTGGGGTTTTGTGCAGAGATCATGACTTGAAAAGAAAATGTTCTTCCTTCTTCATTCCCATGACTTTTGTTTTGCCATTTGCATTTAGCCCTTGCCATTTTGAAGGTATTTTCCTCTTTGGCATGTGCTAGCTCACTTGGTTTTCAGCAGTTTCCAGAGACTTTAATTAGCAAAGTGTGTTGCACGCACTTGAGAGGAGATGAATCATTTGTAGTTTAAAGACCGATGACGACAGCCCTGACCTTTCGCGGAGGCTGGAATCTAATTGGTATCAACATACCTAATGCTCATGTTCACAGATCCAGCTTTGTCATTTCTCCTTGGTGGTCTCACCCATTAAAGAGTCATCCAGTCACATGAAGACAGCGTGAAGGCACATTTGCAACATAATTGCTACAACCCAGGATGTCTCTGTCCCAGTTAAAAACTCTGTGTCCTGTTGTCGGGCTGTGTTTCAGGCCACCAGTCAGACTCTGTGGCCAGTTTCTGGGCTGCTCAGGATGGCTCTGTTGGCTGGAAAGGGGTGCAGTTTAGGCCCTGCCTGGGGTGCTGAAGCCCTGCACATCCCTTGCTGGATGTCCTGCCTGATAGGCTCTGCCTCCCCTTCTGTTTACTTCACGAGCAGGGGAACGGGAACACATAGGTGTATCAGTCACAGAGTAAGGAACAACCGAATCATTTCTGTGCAGACACTGGCTGTTTAAGGCAGGATGTTTGAAGGAGGAACTGAAAGTGAGACTTCCCCAAAGCAGAGGGAAGTGAGTGCAGACCGCAGTTCTAGCATGGTTTGCACGCTGTCCCAGCTCCCTCAGCAGCCACGTGTTGAGGCATCCACCCTCAGGAGGCCCCAAACTGACCCTGCTGTTGTGTCTTGCCTCTTCCAGGCGACTTCGTGAAGTACCAGTGCCACCCTGGGTTCACCCTGTCGGGGAGCGACACACTGACCTGCAAGCTCAGCTCCCAGCTGCAGTTTGAAGGCCCGCCCCCCACCTGTGAAGGTACGCACCCTGCCACATACCACACACTGTTAGATGCCACCATGCCTCTGTGGGCACACCTCCATTCCTGTCTGAGCAGTGATGGTCAAGACAGAAATAACCTGCTAACAGGAGCTGCTGGTGATGCTTTTTCAGCTGGCCTTAGGAAACAGTGCCACATTACATGGTCTTGTTTCCCCAGTAATTCTTCAGGAAGATGTTCAAGCTCATGGCAGAGTCCAAATAATTTTAAAATAAACAGCTGAGTACCTGCCTCCAAGGCACCTCCCATGAGTGTTAACAGCACTTCACTGATCACGATGAGTCCATCTCTGTTACCTTCATACCCACCCGTTACTCTGTTACATTTTTATTTCAAGGTCAGCTTTGTGCATCACAAAATTCTTTACCTGTAACCCAGCTGGAATAGAACTAGCTAGTTTAATATTTGTTGTGTAAAATTTATGACAGTGTGTAACTCTTATTTGTTTTTACATGCTTTTAAAATAAACAGACCATGTGCAAAAACTGAGACAGTCTGCAATAATAGAGTAAGATTTGAGGCTGACTCCATTGCTTCAGAGGACTAGATAGAATACAAGTATATTAAAAATATAATTTAGTGGGCACCATCATCAAATACCATTGGAAGAAAAAAGCCTTCAGGACTGTTAATCAACTCAAATGGTCCAAGAAAGTCAGAAACATTATCAGTTCGCTAACAAAAAGCTTTCCAAACTGGATCCAGACACAGTATCCCTGGCAGTGGACTCTCCCCGATGGGAATCTGGGTGAATTCACTCTCCAGAAAGAGGGAAGTAGCTCAGCAGACCTGGAATTTAGAAAGGGGAGAACCAGGAGGAGTCCAGACTGCTGCCCTGCTCACCACGCAGCAGGAGGAGGACTTACCTTGTTTGTTGACTTGGTAGGAAGACGCCTGGAATGAGTGGATTATCATGTTGAGTGTTCTGTGACAGTGGTATCCTCTGTCCCATTGGAAACAGCCTTCCTCATCATGAAGGTCTGCAGGTTGCCCCAGTCTGATTTGGCAAGGGCCCATGGCCCAGGATAGGCCTGAAGGGCTGAGAGCTATCTACATCCTTCGCCATATAAAGGGAACAGGTTCCCACCATCTGAGAAGGAAAGGACCATGCAGTGCGGAATCAGTAATGACTGCGCATTACCGCTGTGTTTAGCCTCATGCAGTCACAAGTGGGGGTTTTCTGGAATTGACTCCTGCTGCAATGCTAGACTCAAGGGTACTAGGATTAAGAGTGTGAATGCTGCCTGCCCTAAGTAGTCTGCATAACATAAAGGGGCAAGAAGGCTGTTGAGGGCTCCTCTCTTGCGTCCCTGTTGCTTTTGCCTCCATGTGGATGCCATGAGCTGTTTCCCTCTGTGACATCCCTCTCCCATGTTCCACCCTGCCTTAGAACCAGCTAATTATGGACTGAAACCATAAACCCTTTCCCCTTTTACTTTGGGTGTTGGGTATTTTGTCTCAGCAACCAGAGAAAAGTAAGTAAAACAGAATTTGGTACCAGAGAAGTGGTGTGTTGTGGCTGTACCTGACCATGTGGTTCAGGAGCCTTTGGGAATAGTTTGTGGGAAGGGAAAGGCTTTCGAAAGTTTGAAGATGCCGGCTAAAACAGAAGAGCTGGAAGGCCTTAGGCTGTACAGTATAGGAGATTCTAGTCAGAGCTCAGAAGACAAGAAAGCTTGTAAACACCAGGGTGAAGAGGTTTCTGCAGGAAGAAGGACTGCATTGGCTGCTGGACTCTAAACAATATGTTATTCCTTGGCAGAACATTTGTCTGAATTTTACTCATGTCCAGAGACTTTGCCTGAGGCTGACATTAAGGGCAGTGGGCTAATGAATCTTGCAGAAGAAATTTCAGTCTATGGTTGAAACTGCGGCGTGGCTGCAGTTGGGGGCTTTTAGCCAGATTTATGTTGAGAATCAAGAGCAAAGAGCCCAGCAGAATGATTGAAAACATTTAGAGCTTGGCCATAAAGGAAACTCTAGCAAAGCTGTAGCTTGCAAAGATAGAGCAGAGGAGATCTCGACTGCTGAGAAGGAACAGAGAATAGAAAAGTTGGCTTGAGGGCATCAAAAGAACTGGCAGGACTCCACATTTTGCATCCCCAAATTATCAAAAGTAAAAGACTTTGCTTTAAGAAAAGATCCCCAGAGCACAACATTCCAGAATGGTAGCAGCCAAAGGAAGTCATTCCTCAGGATTTGGTTCACAGGCACTGGACCCCTACAGCCAAGAGAGAAGGAAGCCTGGCTACTGCTCCAGCTGGCGGCAGACCTTGGCATCATCCCTGTGGTGCAACTTTTAGCACATGCAGAATTCAAGAGTCATAGGGTCAGGAAGGCTTCCACCCAGATTTCAGAACAAGGCCTGGAAGGCCATACAGTGCCCCTGAGAGGGCAGAGTGAGAAGCTGTGAGTGTGAAGCCGAAGGTGCGTGGAGACCCCAGAAGGTCGGAGAAGCCAGGAGTGTGAAGCACCAAAGAAAAGCTGCAAGGAGGGAGCAAAGCCAACCCAGGAGAGAAGCCACAACCACAGGCAATGCCATAGGGGCAGAGCCAACCAAGCCCTTTGGAGTTCACAAGTTGCCACAGATTGCCCAGCATGCTGGAAGTGGAACTGTGTGATTTAATGCTTGCCCTGTTGGACTTTGGACTTGCTTTGGTCCCATTCCTTTGTATCCCCTGCTTGTAACCTTTGGAATGGAAATGTCTATGTTGTGCCCCATTCTGGGGCACTTTCATTTGAAGGAACTTAAAGGGGACCTAGCTCTGTTCTTTGAACAATTCGTTGTTTTAAAACAGGAAAAGCAGGCATCATGGTGCACATTGTGATCCCAGCACTCAACTCTGGGAGGCTGAGACAGGATCTCAACTTCAAGCCCAACCTGAGCAACTTAGTGATTTTTAACAAGACCCTGTCTTAAAGTAAAAAAATTTACAAAGGGGGCTGAGGATGCCATGTAGTGTGATGCCCCAGATTTTCAGTATCTTCACCTCCACCCCACTCCCACCAACTGCAACAAACAGGAAATCGGAGCCAGGCCTGCCTTTTACAGAGTCCTTAATCACTTAAGGGCTTAATTATAAATTTTCTGAAGTGCTTTCTAATTATAATCCCATTCTAAGTACTTTTGATTATTTGACTGACCTGACCCGGATCAAGTGGAGGATGGTCTCCAGGAAGTCCCTGACGAAAAGCTGAGACCCACTTCCTCTGCATCTTTGGCTGTCAGGACCTGCTCACCTGAGCTCTGCTCAGACACTGTCAGGGTTGTGGGGAGCAGGGCGGGTCTGTGTGGGTTCTGTGACCTGAAGATGGGTACCGCCCTTTGGATGGCAACAAAGAGAGCATGGGGTGCCATAACTGTCTCCCCAGTGCTCCAGAAGGTGAAGGATTTCATGGGGAGGGGAGTTCCTAGCAAAGGTTTGGATCAGACAAGGCCAGGTGGCATCTGAGAGAGTAGTTGGCTCCCCACAGCTTCCTCTTAGCACATCTTTGGGAAGAGTCCCCTCCGTTGGATGGGGACCTAGTGTTCAGCCAGCATTGGAAAGGACACTGTGCCATGTGACATCATCCTGTGCACCATGGGACCCCTAAATAGTTTTCAAAATATTCATTTACACAAAGCTGGAACGTACATTTCCAGTGCACTCTGCAGAGTGTCCCTGGCATCCGGCCACAGCCCCTCCTGTAGAAGGCAGCAGAGGTACCTCATCCTTCCCCAGCTGTGACGGCAGCCAGCACCGCAGGGCCCCATGCAACACAGCCCTCACCTGTTTCAGGAGAGCCCCCACCTTCACGTTGCTCTCAGGCCTCCAGGTGCTCCTAAGAACCAATCTCAAGGACTAGAAACTCAAACTTCTGTTCCTCACCCTGTGTTACTAATCCTAGTCTTGTATGACTTTTGCTGAGAAGCTATAAGATGCCTGAAATAATGTGCTTCATATTCTTAAGGCTCAAATTTTATTCTCCTTCAGAAATAAGCTAAAGGAGGGACTATGCTAGGGAACCTGGCTACAGGCTCAAAAGCATGTCTGAGGCAAGCTCCTCTCAAGTGTCCTTGGTGGGGCCCTGAAGATGTCCCCATGGTCATTTCCAAGAGCCCGGGGGAAGTGCAGGGAGCTTCATGTGTGGAACTGCTGGGGAGTGGGTGGTGCAGCTGGCAGAGCGTGCATCCAGAAGTCACCCCGTCCTGGTAGCGTTGCTTCTGGCAACCTGAACAGAGAGGAGCAGGAAGGACCAGGACTGTGCAAGAGGTCAAGGCACCGGAAGGAGACAGAAGGAACCCATCCCCGTGTGATTTTAAAACCTGTATACTTGAAAACAAGTGTCATTACAACTATGAAACAAATTATTTACCAAAAAGAGCATTTTAGGAATGGGAGAAGTAAGCCCAGCTGTTTGTCACTTGTGAGCCATTTCTGATCTGGAAGCTCAGAACTGCTCTCCAACCCTGGGGTGTGCTGATTGCTTTTCAGGTGGATCTCAGCAACTCAGTGGAAAGCGTGCTATTTCCAGGTGGCCTGAAGCCCCAGGGTCACCTACCACCATGGCCACGGGGTGCAGAGAGGCCTGTACAATTCTGAAGTGCTGTGGGATGAAGGGTACTCGGTAGCACCTTCGTGCCCAGTAAAAGAGAGATGAGGCCAGCCTTTCTCCTCTCTCTGCACTGTCAAAAGCACTTGTACATCGGGGACCTTGTTATGACCCTGAGGGGTCACTGTTTCGGCCTCCACTCATAGCTCAGGCAGCACAAGCTCTGGCTGTCATTGCGCAGAGCGAGCGAGCAGGTCCTGGCAGCTTCAGAAACCCGCGTCTCTGCTCCGACATTCTCACTGTGCTCCTCCTCCGGTGTCAGGCAGAAGGCTCCTCACAGAGTAACTCCCTCCGCCCCGGAAGGGCTCACCCTGCAGCTGAGCTGCTTCAGGCTGTGAGTTCCGGCTGGAATTATATTATTGCCATTAATTCATCATTGTAAATATTATTAAAATCTGATCTAAAAGACACACTTATTTAAAATAGTCTACCATATGTTTTATCATTGGTGGCTTCATCTCTAAAAACTTTCTAAATTTTAAGGTACATATCAACTCATATAAAGATGAATAGAAGAAAATAGGAGACAGAAAACCTTTCATTATATACATTTACTTATCAGCACATATTTATATTCTATAAGTTCTGGTAATCTGTTTGAGAAGCATCTTTTGTTTAAAATATATGTAAAAACAACAGTACTTAACAAAGTAGAAGGAATAATTCAAAACCAAAATTCATTCCTTTGCACACAAATTCATTGTCATTGATAAAGAGCTGATTATTAGGTTTGCTAAACACTATAAATTGTTTTAATACATATCTGTCCCTTCATGAGCCATTACCCAAGGATAGACAGGCTTTCCCCATAATAACCCTACGAGCAAGGTATTGTAGGCTCATAATATGACAATGCAGAAACTACTATTTAAGGTCACTTTCAGGGCCTTTGTTTGGCACATTCATACCTATGCAGATTATTTTCATTTTAATTAATGTAGAAGAAACCAGAAAAGGAAAAAAGGAAGCAGGAGAAAGGTGTTTGACCCATGCATGACATCCTAATGGCCCACGAGCAATGAGTCCAAGCCTAGGAAACCACACTTACTGCCAGGAGTGTGAGGTAGATGGAAGCCAGGCTTGTGCAGTTTGCTCTGATCTCAGGTTCTCACGCAGTCACATCCAACCTGTGCTGTTCAGGGGACATTAAGGACTAAAAGGAGATTTTCTTCTCACGAAATTGCTCCTTATTCTTGTCATATGAGTGTGTGGAATTGGAGAGGTTCTTGCTTTGTGATTGCTTTGGGGAAAGCTGGGATTCTGGTGAGATCCACAGCCCACCTGCCCCTACTGAAGATGTGGGACACAGTGCAGGCACAGCAGCTCGGCGGATCCACCTGCTGAGAGAAAGATGCAAGTTATTCGTTTCTGTTTAGTATTGTTCTCTTGCTGTTTGTATCTTGCATGGCCCTTGGTCCCAGCTCCGTAGGGCGGCCCTTCCACACATGCAAGGACAAAAAGTGCTAAGCAGGTGGGTGTGCTCTGCTGAAGCTAACTTTCCTGGACTTCCCCTCCAGCACAGTGCCCGGCGAACGAAGTCCGGACAGAGTCCTCCGGCGTAATCCTGAGCCCAGGGTATCCAGGAAACTATTTTAACTCCCAGACGTGCTCTTGGAGTATTAAAGTGGAGCCAACCTTTAACATTACCATCTTTGTGGACACCTTTCAAAGTGAAAAGCAGTTTGACTCACTGGAAGTATTTGATGGTAAGTTTCTTCAATTTCTGTATAGTGATGACCTATATAGACTATTAGTCAAAATACTGTTCCAATGTTCAGTAACACAAGGATGTGGATATATTTTCCAATTAAATCTCATCTTCTCCAGAGGATACAAGCAAAACAAAAATTGAATTGCTCTGGGACTTACTTACACATTCTCAGAGATCAAGTGGTCTTAGAACAACATCATATTATTGTTAAGTTTGCAAACTTTCAAACAGAATGTTTAAGGTATATACTCTCTGCATGAACTGAATTTTTAAGCACTCTTTAATTCTTTAACGTGGGGATTCAGAGTAGATGATCTCAAACAGCCCTTCCTTTCTGTATAAAGTACAGTATTGTATCGATCCTCAAGGCATTTACAAAGCTAAGAATTCCAGAAGGACTTTAATCACTCTAAATGGTGATTTTACTCAAAATGTGTGAAAATAGTGACTCACAAAGACTTGAAATTAGTAAGAACTCAGACATCTTTAATGTGCATTTTAAAAAAACAGCTAAATACATTGAACTAAGAAGATGCTAGTAGTGATTTTAATGGTAGTCTTATGATTTTTATACTACTCTAAGGGACATTTTAATGTAATAGTGCATGTGGTTGAACTGTTGATTTGAGATGCAACTGGTGTTAGTATTTGTCTTTGTAGAGAAGCGTCATCTGGCCCAGCAGTGTAGACTAGGGTACAATTAAGGCTGGACACAATAGCAGCGTTCTCTTGGGTTTGGACAGATCTGTCCAGAGGAGTCACTGCCGTCTGATTAATTAGGCCTGTGCCAGCTGGCATGCCCCCGACTTGATGGGTCCCAGCAGTCAATCTGCTCGTAGGGCTACACCCACATCAGTCAGTGTGTGTATTCCTAAAAATTAGCTACTATGGGCTGGGGATTTAGCTCAGCAGTTTAGTGGCCTGCCTTGCAAGCGCAAGGACCCAAGTTCAATCCCTGGTACCAAAAAACAAACAAACAAAAAAAATTAGCTACTACTTGGAAAGTAAACTCACATTTGTATACAAAGAAGTGGAAGACTGGAGAGCACTGTGTACTTACATGGGTGTTAACTGCACGTCTGAGTGGATACACCTTCCTGCGGACTCTTCCTCAGTCTTTAAAATGAAGAATAGTTCATTGGCCAAGTGGGAGAAATGGACTTGTAATTTAGATAAGGAAGTGAAATAACTGTAATCCTGTAGCTATTAAATGATACGAAAGTACAAAAAAGGAAACAGCGCGTCTCACAGGCCATGTGTGTCCATCTGCGTGTTTGTGCCCAAGTAGAGGTACTTCGCAGTGCATGCCATAAATCATTACATGTGTGTAAACACTCAGTCTCCATGTGTGCACAGAACAAAACCAACAATATTTTATGCCTGTTAGTTGCAGGAGCAAAATTCTTATCAATAATTTATGCACTGATTGCTTACAATCCGATCTCTCAAAATATGCATAAACCATGTGACAACAGAGCAGGTCGTAGAGGCAATGTTGATTAACAGTCACTGTCAAAATTACCAAAGATATATGAGTCAAAAACTCAAAGATTTTCTGTGAAGTGAAAGGTCAGAGTTCCATGTGAATGATGTTCTTAAGTGATGGCATTTTTGCTGCAGCGGGTGTCATGTTCATCTCTTGGTTGGTAACCCGTGGGCTCCTTTCTGGTCCGTGCGTGGACTAGAAAACGTGTTGAACATATTGACTTTAAACTGTATTGGCTGGGAGTGTACGACTCTCTGGCCAAGGGTGGATGCCCTGCACTTTTTCAGAGTAGGGCTTTTGTCCTCACACAGCCTGGTTGAGACGGGTATAGGATGAAAATCATCTTTGTCCATCTAGGGCTCCTGGGCCCCTCCTCCCATCCACGGGCTGTGTCTGTGCCTGGCATAGGCTGTGGGCAGAAGAGTCCTAGAAAGCTCGTCGTGTTTCAGGCAACAAACAGATGGACAGTAATGAGGGTTCCCTTGTAGCAGCAGCAGCACCTGAAACTTTACTCTTGCAGTCAGTCACTGAAATGACACTTCACAGTATCTGAGTTCAGGTCCATCAATCTCCCAGTGGCATTTTACTTTAAAATGTGCACTGTCTCTTTAAGCAAAGACCAGCTGCACCCTGGGTGTGCACTGGCCTTGTTCAGTTGTACGGCACAGTGGCCCTGTGCTGGGTGTCACAGTGGGAAGCGCCTCACATCTGCTGACTGCCTTCATCCACGTGATTACCACAAAGTCCCACACACACTGTGCAGCAGGACTTTGCTTAGTGACTGTCTCGCAGCCCCGGAGGGAGGCTAGAAGTCAAGAGCTGGGTGCCACGGGCCGCTTTCTGCCAAGCCTCTCCTGGGCTCACCCTCTACCCCCTGTGCTCCCATGCTGGTCCCGCAGGGTGTCCCTGTGTCCGCATCGCCCCTTCTTCAGGGACCTGGTCCTCTCAGGGAGCCCCGCCACGCGAAATCGTTTTAACCCAGATGCCGCTGTAGAGGCTCCAGCCTGTAACTGAGGCCGGCACTGTAGAGCCTTTGACAGTTTTATTTGGGAAAACCACGGAGTTGCACAGTGCGTGGAGTTGTGATCTCTCAGCTTCTTTGTACAAACAAGATTCTCTGTGCAGCTCTCAAAGATAGGTGTCCCTTGCCCTGATGACCCCTGTATTGTGCGTAGCAGTGATAGTCACTTCCTCCCTCCTAACTGCATTTCCTGGGAGCGGACTGTGAGATGAAGGAAGCCTTTGAGACCAGGAGATAATGCTGCAGCCGCTTGGAGACTGGGAAGCGAGCGGTTTCTGTAGCCAACGAAGCAGTTCCTCCCGTGGACCCCACACGGCAATGTGGGCTCTCACCACCATGCACTTGCTTTTGCTAACTGTATGCTTCATGGTAACTTTGTCTATTAAAATGTTTTTGAAAATTTTCAAAAAATAGGAATGTTTAAAAAATGTTTGTAGATAATGAATTTTAGGTTGGTTTTTTTTTTCCAAATTTATTTACACCTGCTTTTATAAAGCAGCAGAGCACAGGGCCTTGTGGGGACCGTCTGGCACAGCCCCTCCGGCTCCTGGTGTAGTCCAGGGCTCATGTGGCCGCTTCCCCGGTTATTCCTCGTCTCTCTCCCTCTCCATCCACGCATCTGTCTCTGTCTCTCCACCCTCTGGCTCCAGCCTCACGGGCAGTGTGTTGGGCACTTGTGGGGTTTTATAGCATTGCGGTATTTACCTGCAAGTGAGTTTTATTAGATGTCAGTATGCCTTTCTCAGAATTCCCAAAGCTATCTCTCTCTCTCTCTCTCTCTCTCTCTCTCTCTCTCACACACACACACTGAAATATATATATTTCATTTATAGATATTAATTTTAGATTCCGTAGTCATTTAATTTCTTTTGATGATATTTCCAATACTTTCGTATAACTCTAAACTATTACTTGGGCTCCCAAATTTACCATGAGAAATAATGCTGGGATACGTACTTTTTGCTTTATAAAGAACACTTCTATACATGTACCAGAGTTTAGAGAAATACGATTACATTTTTAATGTTGCTAGATATTGGTAAATTGCTCCCAAAGAACCTGTCATTTCCTACACCTCTGCTAGTATCACAAGACAGGTTACTACTTTTCCCTGTGTCCACACAACACGGTGAATACTAATGATACAGAAATCACTCTTAATTGTTCAAATCCAGCTGCTTTACAGCATGGTCTATTTAAATATTATGTCCTTAATAGTCTGTGCACCCGAAATTTTTCTAGGTTGTCTTATTTTATCAAGGAATATATCTGTGGCTGTTTCCATTTGGAATCCTTTGTCCTCCTTGGAAACCAGGTTCAGCAAAGGCCAACAGTGTCCGTGCTTCACGGTGCCAACTCAGACCTGAACCTCTGTGCCCCTCTCTTTCCTGCAGGATCTTCTGGGCAGAGTCCTCTGCTCGTGGTCTTAAGCGGGAACCACACCGAGCAGTCCAACTTCACCAGCAGGGGCAGTCAGCTCTTCCTCCGCTGGTCCACTGACCACGCGACCAGCAAGAAAGGCTTCAAGATCCGCTACACAGGTGAGCACTGAGGCTCAGCAGGTCTGCGTGATCCACAAATGTTTAGATGGGGGTTACGACCGCAGTCTGGCCAGACTGTGAATTCCTAGACAGGAACAGTAGTGTGATGGTAAAGATCACCCGCTGATGTCCCTAAACAGCACAAAAGCACTGATTCATAATATTTTAAAAGTTACTGTTACATGATAAACCATTGAATTGCATACTGTGGACAAAACAAGACAGCCCTAAAAGATAAGATAGAACTAAAATTAATATTAAAGTAGGTTTAACTATCACGGGAATAAAGAAGTGGTGAGTATTATACTACTACTGATAATAAAATAGTAAAACCCTCTGACTAAGTACACGCATTTCCTTACACATGCATGGATGTCACATGTGGTTTGTGCATGTATGTGATATAAATATACACACAACCAGTGTTTATAGGTCTTTCCTTATCACAATGTGAATTATTTTGCTCTTCTTCTGTACATATTAATCTTTCAGTAGTTATTTGTATTTCATAAATCATTAGTTACTCAACAAACTATTTAAATTAGCCAAAGCATTTATGATACTTTAGACCCTGTGAGCAATGTGACTGCCCTGGTCTTTACATTGCTCTACAAGGTGATAGGGAGCCTCTTCTAATTCCTTGGGATATGTTAATTACTAAACCTAAAAGCTGTACCACAAAGCCCTCCACGTGTCCCTGCCTATGCCAGTGGCCCCTGTGCCCAAGGCGGGCACCTTGCCCACATGCAGTGGATGGTGTCCACGTAGCAGGCCGCTCCCTCTGTGACACTCAGCCTGGGCATAGGAGCAGCTGGGAGCAGGACGGCCAGGGTCTGTGGAGCAGCTCCAGCTTGTCGGGAGTTGTGCAGCTGCAAGGCTTGGAAGGGCCCTAGATGCACCAGCAGCTGCATGGAATGCAGGCTCCTCTCTGGGAAGGAGCCCTGCCGCCCAGCCCACCAGCACCCTGTGGAGCATCTGAGCATCTATCAATAGCCTCCTCATTCTGACATCAGTGGGAAGCCAGACTTTTCAAACCGAATTTATCTCCAGTGTGTAAAATGGTCAGTGCAGCAGAAGTCAGGGTGAACATAAATCATCTTGTTCATCTGCGGCAAATTACTTAGCAGCCTGCTTGCCAGAGGGTCCGCCTTTCGCAGGATGGCATCCTGTGTTGCACAAAAGATCCTGCTTTGGCTCTCTCCAGAGATGGTGGCTACATGATTGTGCATTTTGCTTGAGATCTGTAGGTGGACAGTTGTGTTCCTGTGTTATCCATGAACACGTGCACAGAGTCTCACCTAAAATTATGATTTGTGACCTCTGTTCAAGGCCATGAAGGGCCTTGAACTCAGGCTGGGGTTGGGGAGCTCCTGTCCATGGAACCCCCTGGCCACGCTGCCCCCACCTGGGTTCAACGTTAACAACTCGGGTACAGCACGGTATAGCTGTCATCGTAAGTGGACATCAGGGAAGAAAACAGCTAAGCAGCTGCCTGTGTGTGGTAGGTGCTGGCCACTCAGTCAGTGTGGCCATGTGGACCAGGATCATCGGGGTCTCTTCAGTGTTGCACAGGCAGTGGCAGTGTGGGAAAGTCTGTGCAGAGCCTGCCTCAGAGCTTCGGACTGCACTTCTCTCCCCGAGACTGCAGGCTGGGGTCTGCACTTCCTGCACCAGGCCCCCTGTGCTCCCTGGACCTGCGCCCCCTGTTCCAGGAAAACAAGGAGAAGGCATATGCTGAGAGCCTGACAAGGACAGAGTGTGGGACACAGAAGGTCTCCGGGCAGAATCAGAGCACTGCAGGCCAGAAGTCAGCACCCAGCTCGGGCTCTCCCTGCCCCTCTGTGTGTGTCCAGGACATCGGCTTCTCACCCAGGGTCTGGCATTTTCTTTCCCACTGCAGTGATTCCAGACAGGTGGGGTCAGGCGCCTGGTGATGCTTTCCCTAAACTGGACACATCGGTTCACCCATAGCTAACAAGAGCTAGGCCTGCAGTGACTATGAGCAGAAAGCGGACCAGCAGTGGAGCAAGGAAGCAAGAGATCCCAGTGCCAGGTGTCTCAGAGATCAGAGGCCCCATGTGTCCAGGAAGTGCATCAGAGCCCTGGCTGCCCAGACTGGCTCCTGAGTGGGAAACTCTCAGCCAGTGCCCCAGACTTACTTTAGGGAACAGCAGAGGGGCTCATCAGAGCAGGGCGTGCTCTGAGCCAGGGACCCAGGTGTTGAACCTCCTCTTCCGGAGGGGTGAGTTTCCAGGCCCTAAATGTGTCCCATGTGTTCGCTGATTCCAGTGTGTTTGCAGGGTTTAACACACCAGCCCAGTTAACCCAAAGTGTGGTGCCTTCTCTGTGTGTAAATGGGAAGCAAAGCCTGTCAGCCGTCCAAACGTTACACTATGTGGGGCCAGTGGTTTTAACAAGTGCTGGTCCACAGCTTAACAAAGCCTCCTCCACGGGAGGACAGTGCTGCAGGAAGACCATTCCTGGTCCAAGGTGGTGCACTCTCCTCGGAAAGGTCACCAGACGTCGCATGTTAAAGGAGAGGCTGAGCACCTTCATCCTGTGCTGTTCCTGAGGCCTGCTCAGCAGGGGGCAGAGGGCACCAGGCTTGCTCACATGCAAAATATTGCATTCTGTCTTCTTCATTTTATAGCATTTTTTAACGCAGAAAGGATTTCTGTTTCAAATCTGTGCCCTGAGCAACCGCAGCACTTCTCAGCCTGCTGAATGAGGGGGCTGCTTAGGTGGCAGTCTTGTAAGAGAGCTGGGGGGACCCTGGATGCTGCAGTGAGAACCCGACCCCTCAGTGAATCCCGCTGCAGCCACCTGCACTTCAGAGGAAAACGGGGGCCCTGGGCTCTGGGGTGCTTTGTAGGATCACTTTACACAGGGATACTGATTTCATGTTTTACTGGAGATGGAACACAGGGCCTTTGCACTGAGGTACATCTCCAGCCGTTTACAATGTTTTTGATGTCTGAGACAGGGTCTCATCAAGTCGGGAGGCCGAGCAGGCTGGGATCCAACTTGCCATCTTCCTGCCTCAGCCTCCCAGAGTGCTGGGATTACACGGTGCACCCCCAGGCGGCTCTCATTTCCCACTGAGTACTAACTACATCTGCGTCACTCCCCCGCGGCCGCGGCGATGGCCCTGCCTGTCTCTCTGACCCCAGTCTGTGCGTTTGTGTGCCCGCAGCCCCGTACTGCAGCCTGAGCTCCACGCTGAAGAATGGCGGCGTTGTGAACAGGACGGCGGGGGCGGTCGGCAGCACAGTGCGCTACTTCTGCAGGCCTGGGTACCGCATGGTGGGCCGCGGCAGCGCCACCTGCAGCCGGAACCCCGTGGGCACGTACCAGTGGGACTCCCTCGCCCCCGCCTGCCAGGGTAAGACCTGCGCCCGCCCTTACCTCTGTCCCACGCCCACCCTGCCCGCTCGCTTGCCCAGCCGCACCCCTTGGGCTGCAAGGCAGGTGAGGAGGAGCCCAGTGTGGGTGTGCAGCACTGCGGATCCGACTTTTGGCCGCTACCTGAACCCTGCTGCCTCTTGGGCAGGCTGCGCGGTACTGGGGCCTGGCTCCCGGGAGGGACGTCCACCGGTTCGTTCGAACGCTCACTTGTGTGTCCTCAGGAGGCAGAGCATGTGCCGTCCATCTAAGGTCTGAAATGAGTTTTCTTGTCCACTAGCAGAAATTCGTCTTTCCTTATTTTTGTGTAAGTAACCTTTTAGAGCAGTCGGTGATAGCCTCCTGCGGTTTACCGCCAATGGTTTAAATTCTCCTCCTTGGAGGTAACGTTTTATATTTGATTTCTCTTTGCTCGTTTACTTTGGGTTTGTTAGCAGTTTCAACATTCTAGGCCCGATTCTCTGTCGAGTGCCAGAGACCACGATTCCAAATAAGTAATTCCGATTTTGGTTGACGGTTGGAGGCATGTAATGGTTGGTTCCATGACGGGGGGCTGTAGTCACACGGAGGTATGCTGGCTGTGGAAAGTGAGGACTCACGAGAGGGACCTTGTGCGGCCTCGGTGTGCCTTCCATGTGGTGCATTTGTTTTCTAGCACTGCTCTGAGGTGGAGATGGCTGCTTGTCCCGCCCACTGTGTCTTCACCTGTGAGGACACTACGAGATGCTTAGCTGGTACTGTGTACATTTCACCCCGAATCTCTGCATATTTAGCATAAGCACAGTAATAGACCCACACGGCCTGTCTCCGTAGAGAAGGTGGAATTTTTCTAAGCAGGCTGCTGGCCTGGCTCCAAGGCAGGAACAGCATGGGAGAAGGTCTTGGAGACACAGAGCAGCTCAGTTCGTGGTGATTAGGAGGCAGAACTGGGGAACAGTACCAGAGTGGAAGGGGCCAGAGACCACAGAGATTACTGAAGGCCACGGTTCCATGACCTCTCCACACACATCCAGGAGCATCCTATCCTAAACTGCTAGGTTAACCTGCTTCTTAATGCTGCCCAGATTAGTGCTCACAATTCACCCTCTGAATTTCACACCCAACCACATCTCTTTAAAACATATTAAATCTCCAAATGAAGACAATAATACCTAGTTCCTAATTCAACCCAACATAATGCAACTATCTCCCATATGACCAGAAACAATATAATCCCTTACTCAAAGTCTGAAAAATTCCAGAAGTTATCAGAAACCAAACTCGATATCTTTTCTGAGCCTCAAGGCAAGCTCTGAGCTTTGAACAATTCATTTGAATTTGTATCCAGTTTCACCTGTATGTTAAATGCCTACCACAAAGGAACTAGGTAGTCAGAAGCTCTTTTTATTATGTGTTCAATGTACCCTTTCCCTGATGGCTTTAGTATTCCTGAATATGAATATGTCTTGTGATTCAAGTGTGCATTCATTGATGGGGCACTTTTCATTTGCTCTGAGTTCTTTAACTCAGTGATGTGGGGACCTATGGCAACCTACACTCAGAAGGTAGTGCAGGACCAGGACCCGGATGGCCCGGACTGGTCCCTGGAGGCTAAGTCAGTCAGAGCCTACCTGCAATGTGAGCTGAAGGCAGACCCCAGAGACACAGGACAGGGCTCTGAGGGGCCGTGGGGCAAGACATCCAGACATGTGGTCTGCTTTCCCAAGCTGGCTTTCTACAGACCTTGGAGAGGAGAGAGAGAGGGCCAACAAGTTCCCTGCTCGCCTCCCAGCCAGAGCTGCTACTCCTGGGTGCCACAGCTGTGGTTCCCCGTGCCCTTCCTTCTGCAAGCCTTGCTCATGTCAGCGAGCCGGTCCGGTCTCCTTTCTACTTCACAAATGTCGACCTTGCATCACGGAGGGACCTTGAAGGCAGCCTGGTTGTGCAGAGCACGTGTATCGGACAGAGCCGGGGGAAGCTGCCTGGCTTCTTACTAACAATCAGGAAAGGTGTTCCTGGTTCCAGCCCCTGCTGCTTGCTCATGTGTAAGTCAGTGGTTTCCCACCAAAACAGTTCCACTTAAAACCAAACCCAGGAGATGCCAGCTCTGGAGGAAACCTGCATTACTGGGGCTTAAATTCTTTTTCTGTGGAAGAAGTTTGTGTTGTGTGTGGTTTTGTTTCCATTTTAGCCTTTTCTTAGTTACAATTTGTGTAAAATGACATACTAACTATAACAATCTGAAAAATATTCTCATGTATGAAGCTTTAATGTTTAAAATAAAACAAGAAGGTAGTATAAAGGAGCATTTTTGATCATTTTAATTATATAGTACAATTAAGCAATTCAACATCTAAAACTAAACTTTAACCTTTAAAGTAAGCAGTGACAACTATTACCTGGATAGGTAATGAATCCTACAAATCCTAAATGGAATGAAAATATGAGGCTCACTCCCAGTTTATATCTCAAAGGCCCGCTAAGTGTGCCTGAGGACTTGACAAGGTAAGTGTGCAACACAGGTGTGAATGCCTCATTTTGCAGCAGCAACAAAGGAGCTACTCTCTGGTGCTGCCAGGCTGCGTCCCTAGTCCCTGTGCTGCGGACAGGAGCAGGCCTCTCCTGGGGGGCCTAGGGGGACTCATGCAGGTGCAGCCCACTGGGCGGTCTCTGCTCCCTGTCCTGCTCCGCACCCCTGTTCCACAGACATGCAAGGCTCCCCACGGGGCCACGCGTGTTGGTGTTCACATGTAGCACAGCGAAGGACGCTCATTTCCTTTCAGGGCTCTCAGTCCAGTCCTGAGGAAAAGCACCATGGATTCCAGCGCTCAGAACCAGGACCTGGACCTGGAGAGCGCACGCACGCACACACACACACGCACGCGCGCGCACGCGCACACTAGGTTGTGCAGAGGGAAAGCACCTGCTCCGTGGGAGTTAAGCTCTTCTTGCACTGTCTCTATGGGGTTCACCTGCCTGGGGACCGTTCAGAGTTGGACTGAGGTAGGACAGAGCTAGAGCTGGACACCGGGCGGGAGGGGCTGCCACTGCCCAGCTGTCAGTGTGAGGCCCTGGGTGTGTGGTGCCTTGAGCACTACACGGATGCACACGGATGGAGACGTCACACCCGTCAGTATGTGCAGCCGACACCAACTTAACACAAACAAGTAAATATGCAGAATTCAAAAAACTCAGGCTAAATGTGAAAACAGTTTCATGGAGGCACTCCGATTAAAATGTATTTAATGCTATTGTGTTAGAAACACAAATATTAAGGGCAGTCTGTTTTCTGTTTGGCTGTTAGGATATTGAGTTACTATTTAATTTATCGTGGAAACAGGCCACAGTGAGTGAGATCGTTTTTTATTTTGTTTTATGATAGCTGAAAATATGGTCAATTTTGAAAAATGCCAATATCCTTTTGGAGAGACCTCACACATGTGGGTGGCCATCATCGTGGACTGGCTGAGGGCTCACACTCCTCAGCTTCAAGTCAGGGCAGGGCAGCCTCTCTGAGCAGCCCAGCAGTAGAAAGCTCCTCTTGCTCACTGGGCTGAGCTGCAGCTCTGTGTCTGCATGAGGTGTGAGCCGGGAATGGGGAATCGCTGGGCAGCAGGTTTGCCTCTGGGTTCCTCCAGGTAGAAGAAGAGGGGAGGCAGGGCCAGGTCCTGAAAGACTCAGCCCAAGCTCAGGAGGCTTTGGCTTCCTGTCCCTGGCGGACATGAGTCTACCTAGGGTTTTCTTTCTGAAGTGCGGCCGACTGACCCTTGCATATGGCAGGCAAGTGCCTTACCACGAGCTGCACACTGGCTTGCTGTGCATCTGTTCAGGACCTCAGGGATCTCTGCATGAAGGCTGATCTGTAGGGGCATGGTGGGAGAGCCCCAGGGGTCCCGTCTAGAACAGGGGCCTGAGGGGACCTAGGATGAGCCACCGTGAAACCACCATAAATCCTGGGGAAACAGGCAGCCAAGAAACCAGATAACAAGAATGGCTGGACCACAGTGTCCGCAGCTCCTGTGACACCATGAGCAGAATAGGAAAGACCTGGGGTGACTGAGGGGTCGTTAGCTGTGAAGTGGGGTGTTTGGTCCAGTCCTGGAGCAGGACTGTGTGCGGAGCAGAGGCCCTGGGTACTGTACCTGCTGCAGCCCGAGCCTCAGGAAAGGAGAGCTTTCCTTTCCCAGATCGGATGTGGTTGCCGATGTCAGTTCAGGATGCTGAGTGCATCTTTGTTTTTCATCAGATGTTTGGCTTTGTTAGTTCAGTAAAGACCAATGCCAAGTAATAAAATGGTAATACTTTACCAACTAGTATCTGGGCTGGGCGTGGTAGCCCAATCCTGTAATCCCAGCACTCAGGAGGCTGAGGCAGGAGGATCAGCTTGAGTTCAAGTCCAGCCTGGGCTACATCGCCAGACTCTGTCTCAAAACAAACAAACAAACAAACAAACAAACCCCCTAATATCTGTAGTAATAGATTTCCAGCTGGACAGCTTTACTACCAGACAGTAACAGGAAGGCCCTCTAATAAGAGGTCATGTGGGATCCAGAGCTGCTACAACTCCTCCATTCAGCTGTGTGGACCCTGAGGAGATAATTAGGAATTTATTAACTGGACTGTGGGATGTTTTAAGATTTTCACCAAACTCAAAGATCATCAGCATTATTTTAATCTCCATTTGAAAATGAGAGGCTTGAACACTAAAAACTAAATATCTCTTTAAAATAGATATCTCTTTAAAGATTGTATTGCTATATTTAACATTTCAACTATACTTATACATTTTTTTAAATAATTTGAACAGTACTTCTTTTATTTTTGCAGAAGAAGAACACAGTTTATACATTATCTGACTGCACTAGGTCCTCAAATTTTTAAAGTACTGTCCAGAGGAAAGTGTTGGAAGATTCGCAGGATACAGCCAGGGCCCCCTGTGCCACACAGAACTCTACCTCCAGAGACAAAAGTTTTGAATTTTACAAAAATCAATAAATCTAG